GTGGAAAAATGTCACTTGCATTGTATGTCTCACCTCTCCTGTTCTTTAGGCTTATTATTGGGTGTTATAAAGGCAGGTGGAGACAAGTGAAGTTAAACTCGTGTACAGACAGGTCAATTGTGAAGAGACTCCTGCGACAGTGTTGGACGAGAGAGGACCAGTCCTGGATTTTATTTTGTGTTTTGGTTCTGTTTGTGCGCGACAGTCATCCGCAAGGGGCTGTCGCGCTATTTTGTGTTTATTTTATTAAAGTTTTGTTGGAACGTTCGCCGGTTCCCGCCTCCTTCTTCCCGACCTACGAACGACATTTAAACAAAACTTTAATAAAATAAACACAAACAGAACCAAAACACAAAATAAAATCCAGGCCTGGTCCTCTCTCGTCCAACACTGTCATCACTCCTCCTTTTATCCTTCTGGAGCTCCTCCGTGGGACTCGGTCACAATCTTTATTACTAATATAGAAACACGATGAATGAAAACATTAAGCTATAAAATATATACTCTGTCATGGCTAACTAAAAGTTTAAGGCTACATCACAGTCACTTCTGATAATAGGGGCTGAGATGGGTCAGAGATGACATTAATATGACTTTTGTGAGGCACTGAGTCTGAATTTGGAGCATACACAAAGCATGTCAGTGTAGCCTAAGAACATTTTAAATTATTTTCATTTTTTGAATTAAACTTTTCACTCAAATTGTTTACTTAGATAAACCTTAGTCACATCAGAGACTAGATCTTCTAAAATATATATAATTTAACTCAATGCAATAAAGTTTTAATGCTAATTTGTGACATTAAACTTTTAAGTATGTAGAAACAGTTCATAAAAAAAAGTTATGAGTGGCTGTGCTAAATTGTGTGTGACTTATATGCTATACTGACTATATTGGCAATATAGCACTGCTTCTCCTACCCAATTTCTTCAAGCTCATCTATAATTAAAACAACAAGGACACATTTATTCTTTAACCCCTCCTCAACAAATTACAATTGCAGTTAATATGTAACAAATTTGCCTCAAACGGTTTGCCGCAAGCCTCATTCGAATCTGTGGCAATGTTTGCCAAACCTATCCTCAAATGTTTGCAAGAAAAGCAGTATTACATTTTTGTAAGAGCTCACAAATGCTCACTCGTTCCTCCTTTCTTATCAGTGAGGCTTGTTCTGGTATAGCTCGCACCTGGGCTTTTTACACATTAGTGTACTTGTCCTATTTATGTACCGTGACATTCCATGTTTGTAGCACTTAGACACATCGACGACATGCATGCAGGTTTACAGGAACCTTATCAGATTAGACAGCCGAACACTTGGTCCACACTTGTGCTCTAAACAAATAAATTAGCATTCCATGAGGCTTGCTCCTCATCTCCATACCCATTCATACTTTACGTCGATCTGAAAGAGCAAGCCCAGTTGCGTTCTGAAACAATTTTCTCCATTGTGTTCAGCGCCTTTGATGAAAAGCACTCGGAAAGTGGCACCTGACAAAATAATTCGCAAAACAAGGGGGTAGAAGATGTTAAAACTCTCAGATATACCTCTGCATCTTTCCTCTACTGCCCTCTCGGAATAAAAGCTCGCTGTGATGGGTCATATTTGCCTTTGCCAAACACCGAAGGTTTACGGGAAGACCCTTTTTCAGTAAAGACCAATGCTAAATCTTTCTGTCCCTCTTTAAAGTCCCCCCACCTCTCCTATTTCTACTCCATTTGTTAAGTTCTTCCACTATACGGTCCTGCTTTCCATCCCCCTCTTTGTTTTTAAGTGGCCATCACTTCGTTTTGTCGCTCTTTGTTTTGAGTCAGCCACGCGTTTGTGACGCATTTCCTTCCATTGTAGCAGGAACCGATTCTTGTAGTAATAACTCTTTCAGAACCACGGTCAAAGCCGCAGTTTGTGTTTGTGTATGGGTACATTCAGTGTACTGCCAGCAAAACCATTTTTTTTAAGACTACTGGCAAGCATAAACACTTTTTTGTAAACTTTATAAAGGAGGAACGTTGTTCAGTAACAGGGGGCATGATATCGAAAAGAATTCCTGCATCACATTCTTCCTTGCCGAAATAGATCCTGACCACTTGGTTATAGACAGCAGGTGGTGGAAACATAAGTAAATAAAGAATGCTCCATTCCGTGACAACTCTGAGTCATTGAAGACGAGTCGCTAGGATTTCTCCATTCACAAACACATAAACAAGAAAATAAATGTGAAGCTGCCTGGCTATAGAATGTGGGTCTTTCACACAGCCTTCATTGTTCTCGGCTGTCCTAATCAGTTACGAAGATGCTCTTCTGTGTGTTTACCATCTAAATGATAATTCAGAGTAATCATGAACTCTTTTATAATTGAATATTTTTGCTTCAGTATGTTGTCTTATGGAGTTGTTCATCTTTGTCTTAGTGAAGAAAGCAAGAAACGAATAATGAAGTGTCATAATAGCAGATGTTTGAACTTCAGCTGTGGTTTTGCTTGAAGAATTATTGTGTTGCATTTACCATTTGAGCAAGTCTTTCATACACCAGGGATATTATGCACGATAGACAAACCAAGGCCATGTTTCCTACTTTTCTGTAATGCGATTGGCTTAATCAGTGGAAATGTTCCAGCATGAATTCATTTTCTATCCTCTGAGTTTCGTATTCCCTCCAGGCCTGGAATGTTCACATTGTGGCTCTGTTCTGTTTCAGACCAGTCTACATTTAGTTGCCAGGGAAACCTGCAAATAAAATTTCAAGACATCAATGAAGCACTCATCTAGATCAGGTGTTTTCACCAGTCAGTAATCCACAAAGCACTTGCCTCACTGGCCTCCACCCAGGACTCCCAGGCAGATCGTGACCTTAATTAGGTGCGCCAGTGCCATCAAATCTACCCAATATTGCATACTGGCAACAATTGTGGGGATTCGTGTATGTAAATCAGTTTGCCCTGTGTCAATAAAATATGTGAAAATATGATTTTAATGCTACGTTGTTTTGTTACGGGTTTAACTCACCCATCATTTTCCCAATTGGACACTGAAGTAACAGGTTAAACATGTGATAAACCAAGTAAAAGTTATATTGCATCCTTACCTTCCCCGTGTGCCTTTGTTGTATTTACCTCAGAGTACAGCACGTGCGTTACGTAGCCTACGTTATCAGATTAGAATGAATGCGTCTCATATTAAATCTGGGTTAAGGAGCTAATCCATTTATCAGTATATTTCCCTCATGACCAAGTTAATGCTATGGTTTATGGACACATGCGATGGAGTATTGTATATGAAAATGGTATTCTGAAATAGTAACCTTTTCGTAAGGGCATAGTAATTACACATAAAGCCTAGTCTATATGTAGTTGAGCTTCTGTGCTTACTGTATGAGTTCCGCCAGTTTTCTGTGCACTCAGCTATTTATTGCAGTTGTCGATGGTATAAGACTAAAAATCGCCGCATTAATTTACCCTGCGAACAGCTATAATTCTCTTTCCCTAAGAAGAGATCAGAACTGAGCCAGACAACGAGTGAAGTTCACCGTCACCGAGAACGCGCGTCACTTCTGTACTTGTTCTTTTCCATAATGCTCAGATCAGATCAGATCAGATGGCAGACAAGTATAGAGAAACACAAACGACAGCCCTTCGCATATATAAAGGCATAGAAGAAGAAAAAAACATGAGATATCATGCATATTTGTTTTTATCATAGTATATTGCTTATTATTATTATTATTAGTCTCATGGCCAATTTATTTATTTTGTATAGCCTACCTACTGAAGTAGTGGTTATCAGTCTTATTATGGGTAGGCTATGTCTTTGGCACCGGTGTTCACTCATACGTTCTCTTCATGCTTAACTCAAAATGAACTCATATGAAACGGATGGTTACTGCAGTGAAGTATTCAAATATTTCCTCTTTTCTGTTTATGGCTGGCAGTGCATTAGGGCGACATGTCAAACTAAAAATCAATGTTTCCCCAACAACACCGGTTCAAAACCCGACTAGAACTTTGGTAAAATTGTCATTTTTGGTTGCATATACACCATCTCCATAGCGTACCCATGTGTTATGAATTCACAGCATGCATTTCTAAATATAAAACATCTCTGATACCTACACAAAATAGGATGGACCCCACGTAGGAATGTAAAACTCAACTCTAAGAAAGTGTTGATATTATACAATTGATAATCCCCCTCCCCCAATAAACTTTATTGTACCACTGGCGACATCTATCTGTTCTCCGGGCTATAAGGGTGAGTTTGATCCAGACTGGATTCTCAATTATGTCTGAAGAATTGTGATAAATGGGCTGAAAAACTATTACGATGCAATAAAGAATTGGAAAATACAACAACAACAACAAAAATACTGAATTGAAATTCTTGTGTTTCGAACTCTAGAAAAAGTGAAAAACTAAAACTCCATGGTGACAAGCGAAATTTAAGAGCAACTGCACATGCATGCTCGCATATTAAAAAGCGCACACATGGTTCCGAGAGCACCATGCGGACCGCAAAGCTGTGCTCTGCTGCCACTTTCTATGAAACCCACGACCACCTCTACACACTCTCCCTGTGTTCCGTGCGTTCAGGACCCGAGAGCATGTGTCCACAGACCACCCAGTGAAAGTTAAAGGTGGGGAAAGAGGGGAGGGAATCCTTGACGCGCCTTTACCGTGCCTTTACCAAGGAAACCCATGCGCGTGTGCTCTGACGCAACTGCCCATTTTTGGAAACATGCGTCAATGGTCGAAACCAACTGTGAAATGGGGGTGGCCGTGAAAAGCAAACAAGTTTAAAGGAAATGAAAGCATTTTAAACATTGCTCATTTGCTCAATAGGATGTATAATTTAATATTTACACATATTCTTTCATAAACGTTTTACTGGACAGTAATGTCTGGCAGTAATTCTATTAAATATGTATGTTGCACCCCTATTTTGCTGTGCGACTTATCAAGGCTGTGACGCGTAGACGCAGGTTGGCGTTGATAAGCGGAGCTACGAAGTAGAGTAGTGCCATTGAAGTGAGTCATCTAAAGACGTGACCTGTAGAAGTAGCGCTGAAGTTCACTTAGTCGCCAAAATCAGTTCAACAAAGTCCAGAGCGGTACACTCATCACTGCCGTGAGTCACTGCTATAGGGACAGGACTAAACCTACGAGAGCACCGAGTTCACTGAAGAAAAGTAGGTGTTTGACAGATTTTTTTTTTCTTCATTTCGTCTGGTTCTAGTAGAACATCTCAGTAGCGATGAATATTAGGCATTAGGTTTACACGGGACCATCTATTTATTGGACTGTTAAAGAGACTACAGAATTTGAGAGCGTTGACTTCTCCAATAATATAATATTACACAGATATGCCTGGATTTAACATACTGACCATTAAGAAGTATTTTGGATATCATTTTTAGATTAGGTATAAAGGAATCGCTTTGTTTGGAAGTGCTTTTTTGCCACCGAAGACACTCTGATCGTGTGGGAATTCATTATCAACCTTCTGAAATTGCCTCCTCTTTCCCTGGATCATGTACCAGGATTACACCGGGACATACGACACATCCTCCCACGGCAGCAGCAGCTCTCCGGCGCACCCGGACACCAGCCCCATTCCTGCCTCCAACTACCAGGTAGCCTACTGATGTGCTTGAGTGTCCGTATCCTCATGACACTTACCATGTTTACACTCTTCGGGTTTACACAAATAGTCCTAGTACCATGTTATCATAATTAATTCCAAACTAACAGGATATGCACTTATGCACAGCATATTCTCTTCACACGCTTTACATCACAGTGCTCATACTACATTACACATACTAAACTACGTGGTGTTAAAATACACGACAATGACAATATGTAATTAGAAGCAGCTCTGCTAAATAATAACACAATCAAAGTCTATACATAGTAACATAAACTGCGATGCAAAATGTGACCAAACTCTCTATACATCGAGGATTGGGTCATTGGAAGTCATTGGTTGTCGTTTTCATGATGTGAACTAAAGTACATTCAGTGGTCCTGTATGCATGTTTTTGATAGAAAAGCAACGCAAGTGTTATAAGTGCTTAAAAAACTTGACACTTGATTATTGCATATAGACGGACGATGCGCCCTTTCCTTAAGTATACAATCGTACCTTAAGAATCCAGTGTGTGCTACATTTTTTCATATAGGTTAAGGTTTTAAAATAATCGTATCTGATCATTATTTTCAAAAGAAAGTGCACGAAAGACGCACATAGCTTTTATGCATCTCTGCAAAATGCGTAAAATCCAATCAGAGGAATCCGTCTCGCTCTCTTAATAAATGATTCCCAAAGGTTATTTCTTCCCCGTCTTGCAGTCTATCGTTGTGTTAAGATAGTGCACATGTTGGCACTCATAACATTATGTTTCCGTGGAATTAGGCATCTTTGTCAGATAAGGGTAGCAGTGGCGTGGGTGGTGTGCGTAATGTGAACACGGAGAGTGCGTACGTAGTGGCCACAGGATGCCACACTTCCGGGACTTCCACATAAGCTATTACACTTTTACTAACCTTATCTGAATATACAAAAAAAAAAAGAAAAAAAAAACTTTTAACCTTTAACCCTTTAACCGTAGTTGAACCTTAAAGTTTAGGGTGGACAAAATTAAGCCAATTCGGATATCGAGAACATGGAAATGTAAAAAGATAAGACCAGTGAGGGCTTGTAGCCTACCTAAATGAAGACATTGTACACAGACGCTGGGTTATACATTTTAAAGGACTGACTAGAACTGGCTGATATGGTGAATTTAATGAAACGGCAATAGTCACACAATCATACTTAAGTAAATGCATGTTTTTAATATGTGTGATGGGGATAAAAGGATATAGCCTATGCATTTTTCTGCATGGAGAAAAAAACTCACAAAATAGTCTATGCTTAAAAAATTGTGAAAAAGAACACATTAAATCAAACTTTATTTAATTATTGTATAAAGTTTGTCGCAAATAATGACAATTACATACATTGTAATGTATCATTGTTATCTGTCAATGCTTATACCAGGAGTGTTACATTGTATGCACTATATATTACATGTTTCAAGTAAAGTTTTACTAACAGCTAAGAAGTTTCCGATCTGAATCTCAGCGCGAATGAATGGGAGCTTGTGCACCGGTCAGTTTGGCACCTTGTTCCCCAGACTCTGGTATTTTAATCACATCTGGTACGTTTAACAGCCCCTGTCAGAAATTCCCGAGCATCATCGTCTTGTAGGGTTGCTGTTTTAACTATTATATATTACATGTTTCAAGTAAAGTTTTACTAACAGCTAAGAAGTTTAGGCAATTTTGTGAGAATTTTCCGATCTGAATCTCAGCTCGAATGAATGGGAGCTTGTGCACCGGTCAGTTTGGCACCTTGTTCCCCAGACTCTGGTATTTTAATCACATCTGGTACGTTTAACAGCCCCTGTCAGAAATTCCCGAGCATCATCGTCTTGTAGGGTTGCTGTTTTAACTACTAAACCCATGGAATAAACGGCCCCCTTTCGATTCAAGCATGCGCTGTTTTGACTCCTTTGGGGGAAAATCAAGTGAAGGGGAAAATTCGGGTACATTTCGGGAGAAATGAGCGCAACGCGGTAATTTCGCAACACAACAGAGCTTCATAGAATGATTCAGTAACATGTTTATATGTTAACCTTCCCGGTCGCTTGTGAAGGATTCATTCAATGAGAAACAAACGCGACAGTTCCTGGAAGGTAGTGGAGTCTTTCGCAATACTAAGTTGTGGAAAACTCTTCTCTACCACCTTAAACAAACACTATGCTTTTAGTGAAAATAAAACACTAAAGTGAGACTTACGAACATTTACGTTTCGCTCTAGTCCTTTTTTTTTAAATACACGAAATGATTGCTGTTATTCTTTTTAAACAACACCACTCTTCCCGTAATTCATTCCCCTCCAAATGATTTGTGGTAAACATGGTCCGTCACATTAAGTCAGTTTCCCGTTAAAATCCCACTAGGAATGTGTGAATGGACTGGAATTTGGTGGATGGAATGTGCTGGCACGGGATCCCAGTTCAGTTTCCCGGATGACAGAAATAAAGAGCAGTCTTATAACGTGATTAAACATTTGTCAGACTGCATATGTAAAAAAACATAGCCTATGACTTGGGTACATTTTACAAGTAATATTTGGGGAACAGCCTTGTTTGTACTGCAACTATCACTATGTAATAATTTACAGATCAGAAGTTCACATATTTTCAAATGTGACTATATATGAACAAAGATTTGTGATATTAATCTTTTCTAAACTGACATTATTAACATTAACGTTATTTAAAACTGTTGAGCATTCATTCGTGTTCGTAATAGTGGACCCACTTTATATTAAGTGTCACTAACTGCTGTGTACTTACATTTAAATTAATCATTGGATACAATGCACTTATTGTGGACATACATTGTACTTATATCTAAAAAAAATACCTTTCTTTAATTCATTTCTTTAGTTACATCTGTAGTTGTTTCTATCCCTACACCTTAACCCATCCTTAAATCTAACAATACAACCAAACCTCTTCCTAACCATAACTGTATCTCGATAACCTAAGCCTATCTCAATAACAATCAAGTGTTTTGCAATTCAAGGTGTACACATTAGATACATTGTACCTAACTTTTTTTATTTTTTTATTTAAGTACATAGTAGTTAAAGACCTAATATAAAGTATGCCTGCAATAGTGATTATTGTTAATTAGCAAATAAAAAAATAGTTGATAATGGTATTAATAAATAACTTTAACACTAATAAAGCATTAACAAATACTACTAATACATACATTTGATTAAAAGCAGTATTTTATTTCAGTCGTCTTATAAACGAAGAAACGTACTTGTTATAAGTCATATTCACTTCTTATAAGACAGAGTCCGTTTAAAAAAAAAAAAAAAAAAATCTGTTGTTATACCCACACTGCAACCTAATATAAAGTGGGACTTCAATATTAATTATTGTTAATTAGCAAATAAAATAGTTGAGAATGTTATTACAGCATTAACAAATATTAATAATAAATACATTTTATTTCAGTTGTCTTATAAACAATGTACTTGTTATAAGTCATATTCGCTTCTTATTTAGTTTCAAAAAACAAAAATCTGTTGTATACCCACACAGCAGTGAATCCGTTGCCCATTGCATCACAGAGGCTATTATCTAACCCTGGTCGGCTTCTGTCAGGGAGGGTTGTGGGCTTTCCCATGATTCACCCTGTGTGTGTCACCCTGTCGCTCTGGGGGTCAAGCAGTCAAGAGGGCGTAGAGCGAGGTAGCACGTGGAATGATTCATTAATCTGTGATGATGGGAATTTGTAAAACGGCTAAAAAGTGGGTGGCTGGGGGACTGCAGTAACAAAGACTAAAAATGAATCATACAATTTTTAACGAACGGTGAAAGTCAGAGTTCTAATCCTGAGTTTTTTCATAAATATTTACACTTTAATCTCTTAATACTTTTTTTTTCCCACAGAAGTACAGAGTAGACATGCCTGGCTCTAGCAGTGCCTTTATTCCAACAATTAATGCCATAACGACCAGTCAGGACCTGCAGTGGATGGTTCAGCCCACAGTAATCACATCCATGTCTAATCCATATTCCCGGCCTCACCCGTACGGCCTGTCGGTGTCTAGTGGCCCGAGCCTCCTCGGCCACACAGCCCTCACACGGCCCGGGGTCATCCGGTCCATCGGTGACGCCCGGGGTCGACGCAAGCGAGACGAGCAGGTCAGTGACAAAATCAAACCAACAAAACCAGTTTTAACATATAGAACAAAAACACAAAAAAACATCTGCTGACATTTTTTTTCTTTTTAGAGCTGCATTACAGCAGAACTTTGCAGCATTAATACTGTTATTTTCTTTTTTATTACTGTGAAGCTGCATTGAAACAATCGTTATTGTACAAGTATAATATAAATACATTTGATTTGAAATATGTTACTTAATATGATGCAAGCCTTGATTTTTTTTTTTTTTGTGAGAACGATTTCTCACAAACAACTGGAAAAGTTTACTTGGGTGAGTGCTCACTCCTCATTCTGTGTGTAGCTCACCCCAGAGGAAGAAGAAAAACGGCGAGTTAGACGAGAAAGAAACAAACTAGCTGCAGCAAAATGTCGGAACCGCAGAAGAGAACTGACCGAGATGCTGCAAGGGGTGAGTTTTCTACCATTGTTACAAAAAAAACAACAACAACATTCTCTCAAATTACCAGCACAAGGGAACACATATTTACCAAATACTCCAAATGAAATGTCCACAACTATCGCTAGGCTTATTTTCACGCAATTCTCAGTGGTTAAACGCTGAAAAGACCATAAAAAGAAGGTTTTACAGCCACTGAAGGCCAGTGTTGTCTGGCAGATGGGGGAATGCCCCGAGTCCCAGACAATTCTGGCTGTAATTGAACTACTTAGCTTTATAATGGCATCTCTCAGGCTGTCAGGCCTGAAACATGAGGGAGGAATGTGCTACAGGGGGTTGGAGGGAAGCAAACGTCTGATATTGTTCGAGGAGGAAACCGCAGCTAACCATCAAACCCCACACACTGCTATCTTCCCTCTTCCCTTCCCCCACTCTTTGCTTCATTCCTCACCAAATAAGGAACTGTGTCTTCTATGACAATAACTATGCCCTTTCTTCCAATGTACTGTTTCTTTCTTTGTAAATTAAGCATTTGTTTTGCTTTTAGTTTCCTTCTTCCTCATAGCCATATTAATGAGTCAAAGACAGCAACAATTTGTATATGACTAGCCACATTGTTATGTCAGTGTTTTAACCTTCTGGAGGCTTTGACAGTTGTTTCCGAAATATTTGGTGCTGTGTCAAGTGTCCTGTTTAACAAAGCTCAAATTGATTTGGGAAATAATTGCTTGTGTTTATGGGTGTGCCTTTTATAGTGCCAAAGTGCTCTGAGAGTTCAGTTAGGAAAAGGTTCGGGTGTGGATGAAATTTGGCTTTATACCCTAAGATAAGATAAGATAAGATAAGATAAAAAACAACAACAAAAAAAGACATTTCCTTGTTGTTATTTATGTATAAATAATAATAATAATAATTATTATTATTATTATTATAAAAATAGTAGTACTTAGTAGTTATAATTGATAATTACTACTAATTAAAAAAATATATACAGTTTTATTCAATTAAATAGCAGTCTTTAGACATGATAACTGCACTAAGCCATATTGCGATTTTGGTTTAGTTTGGCTTAATTGTGCAGCCGTCGTATAGGCTTACATTAAAGACCAGAATATCAAATAGAAATTTTGGGGGTGAGGTCTTTTGACTAAGACCACCCAGAGACCACCCTGACAGCGACCTTGTTAAACTTTTTTTAAAACGCTTCAATATGTTGAATCCATAATTACCAGCATAATTAATTTGCAAATCATTTCACAATCCAAAAGAATATCAGACAAAATGCAGCATGATCATTCATTGTATTTCTTTTTTTTTTTATTCAAGGAGACAGAGAAGTTAGAGGAGGAGAAGGCTGACCTGCAGAAAGAAATCGAGACCCTGCAGAAGGAAAAGGACAAGTTGGAATTCATGTTGGTGGCCCACAACCCCGTGTGCAAACTGCCCCCTGAAGAACGCCACCAAAGCTCACACTCCCAGCAGTGTGCGCCCCTTCCTCTGACCATGCGCTCCAACCTGGGTCCCCGGGGGCCGATGCGTACCCTCAACCCAGTGGTGGTTAAACAGGAGCCTTTGGAAGAAGACGACGATGAGGAAGAAGGACAAATCCAGCGTTCAGTCATCAAGCCCATCTGCCTAGGTGGCGGCATGTATTGTTCTGATGGAGACAGCCTCAACACGCCTGTGGTGGCTGCTTCCACCCCGTTGTCCACTCCGAACAACCCAAGCCTCATCTTCACCTACCCCAGCATGCTTGAGCCCGAGAGTCCTTCACCCTCATCGGAGTCCTGCTCCAAAGCCCACCGCCGTAGCAGTAGCAGCGGCGACCAATCTTCAGATTCCCTTAATTCTCCCACCCTCTTGGCGCTTTGAAGGAAAAATTGACGGTGCTCCTTTGCCATTCTCATGGATCTCCAGAGCACGCTCAGCTCGGATTTGAGTGAGAACTTCACCTCAACAAAGCTCAGAACCCTCAAGGGCTAATTTGCTCATTTTATTTAAACGTTTCAGAAGAGGGTGTTTGTTGTCATTGTTGTTTAAATGTATGTGCAAATCCCACTCGCTGTTTCAGCTACAAATAGTTGTGAGTTTCCGGAATGCGGATGAAAAAAGGGGAGTAGAGATTTCATCTTTCATCTTTAGAAAGGCTCCGAGCATCTTGCAGTCGGCTGCCTGTACAGAAGAGCAAGATATCTCCTGCTGGCTGTCTGACTAATAAGAGATTGGAATTGCTTGCAAGATGTTGATAGGTACAGAATAAGACTTTGGACACTACAATAGATAGCTGCCCTCAAAACATCATCTTTGGATTTGTGATGTGTGATTATTGTCCCTTTGTATTTTGTGTCCTGCTGTGTTTATGATATTTAGGGTTCACTGGATGAGCCTCACTGCTGAGTGTCGAAAGAACCATCTTGTATAATAAAATGCTGACCTTTGTTGATATTTTGTATATGCGGCACAAGCACTAAGACCATTTGCCAAATTTACATAGCTTTTGTTATGTAAAGCAAACAAAGCAACAAAAACGAAAAAAAAAAAAAAACACTTTCTAGCATCAGCGAATCTAACTGTCAGGGATTTTTGTCTGTGTCAGTGAGCCATACAAGCATTACTAGAAGCAATTGCACAGAGAACACAATATAACGGTGTGCACGAGGGAAACTCTAGCCATATTAGGCTCTGCCTCTAACCCTGACATGGCAATATCGCTTTTGTATTGGCGCACACTGTGGTTTTCAAATAATAATAAAAAAAAAACTGTATTACTTTTCTAATATGTACTTTTATGTCTGGCCCTTTTTTCAGGGTACAGTTTAAACTGAATCATATATCAGCCATAGGAGCACTTCTCCCTGAAACACTGGTTGGCTTTTATTGCCGCACTTGGGAACAGATGCACTTTGTCAGCAACCTTACAATCAAATAAAAAGGCCATTCTTTACAGTGATGGAATAAACAGGGAACGCAACATGATATTGAATGTTTGATGCAAAAGGGGAGTGGTGGTGTGCATCAGACTCTGAAGAAAAGATACACATTGCAATATTTCTTGAAAAACATTCCATGGAAAAGAAGACTGGACTTCAGTGAGATCTCCAGGTTACTGTTGCTATACAGTCAGATAATAACTGAGGGTGAATGTGAGTATTTTGTTGTACAGGATGCAGCAAACTGAAACAAAACAAAACAAACGTGGCTTCTGTTTGAAGGACTTTGTTGCTTTATTTATGTCAGGAACTTTCAAGGATCTAGGAGATCATTTCAGTGTTCGTTATATTGAGTATGAGAGATTCTAGTTGCGAAAACCAATGTAATACCAAAAAAATTAAAAAATAAAGGAAAATGTTTAAGGACCGTGTGCTGTAAACTGTTCTCTGTTGGTCTTTGAACCCTGTGTAATTTGAGCAAGCCGTCTGTACAGCTTTCTGCACATGTCCTGCTTATCGGTCTGTATTCTCTCTCTCTCTCTCTCTATCTCTCTCTCTCTCTCTCTCTTTATATTGCTTTTACTGTTGAAAGACAGAAAACAACCTACAAAAACAGCAATATGTAAGGCAGTGTTGTTCCTTTGGTAATTTAAGTTGATTATAATGATAATAAAAACATTTCCAAAGTGGTATTTTTGGATAGTCGTATTTTTGCTGTGCACAGTGTTTCGCATATGTTGGATATTTCATTGTTACGATGTGGTGCTTCTGTGTTCCTTTGAGTCAGTCACAAGATGGTTGAATGCACCTGCTTTATGCGTCAGTTATTCATTTATCTCTAATTTCTGCACTCAATCAGAGATGCAGATTTATTCATCCTAATATTGGTCTGTGAACCTAAATCTGTCATTAAACGTTGATAGACAGCTTTGCTTTATCCAACTGATGACAGTGTAAGACAATACTTGCTTTGTAAAATACATAAAACATTTCATAAATGGGGATGGTGGTGTAGAGGAAAGAAGAAGCAAAATAAGCATGCGCATACTTGCATGTACTGTACATACAGTTTTCAATACAATACTTCCTGCTCATAGTTCATCAATGCTTCTGCTGTTCTGGTTATCAAACTGCACTTTATGTAAAAACAAAATGTATAAACTTGTATGTTAGGATGCTAATTTGGCCATACAAATGAGGGTTTGTGGGGGTTTACTTTCTCATGAAGAATCACTCTATATATATTCATTTCAGAAGTCAAAATTGATGTTTTGGTTAAAGTTGCATTCATTATCTTGCATTACTATGAGTGGGTGACCCATTGTCTCATTTCACCGGATCACATTTTATACTGATTATGTACTAAGTTGAAAATTATTTGCCAAGTTTGAGATTTGAGTCCATTTTAAAAACATTAATGGCTGTTTTGCGGTTGTGTATTGAGCTTTAGGCAAAATTCATGTGTCTGTGTGGAAATCTTTTATTTTGAAATAAATATTTCGATTTTAAAATCTGAAATGTGTATATACATATTATTTCAGCTATATCATAGCACTGATGCAGTCTCAAATTATTGTAAGAATAATGCTTTTCCAAATGTTTATCAGTTCCATGACTCATTACTAAAATTATTTGCACTGAAAATAATCAAATAAAATAAAATATCTGAAAGGATAACAGTAATAAAGATCAGATTAGTATTGGTAATTCAGTTAAGACAAATTCACACAGCAATCACACATTGTTAGGGCAGTCAATCATTTATTCAAGACATGATGTGCTTATCTGGCAACTATAAACAAATTATACTTTAATAATCCCTTTCCAAGGTATTTTGCAACCATTCACATTTTTACAAGATGGTACTTAGGTTGAATCTTTTATAATGATTAAAAGAAAATACAAAACCATTGCATTTAGCATGATTTATTGATTGATTGATGTTTCAGGCACCCCCCCACACACACACACATTAGCCATATGTTAAAGTGTGCCATGTACTCATTTATTCATTTCAACACTGAAATGTAATAGTTTTTTCCCTTTCAGTGGGTGTGGATTGGTTTGATATTTTACTGTTTAATTTTACGAGTTCAACACATAGTCTAAAGCTGATTTTGGGAAAATTTAGCTCTCTGTCATGCAATGTTCATTTTAAATTAAAAGTCTCTTGCTTCAGTTATCTATTTTTTAATTTTACAAAAATACTAATCACTAATCCCACCTTCACGGACAACAAAATGGTAGTATTTGAAATGTTTAATAGTCAACAGGCAAAAATGGCACACGACACAATAGAGTCACACTGCCACCTAGTGGTTAAAATACATATGAGTTATTATTTTTAGTATATACAAGTGAAATTATATTATACTAGTTATAATAAACATGAAAGATATTAGCAATGAAAAAGATCAAATAAAAATCTGAAATATCTTATATTTCTTCTAAGAAACTGAACAATAATCCTCAAGGATTGATGCAAAAATTATATGATATAAAATGAGAGTTATGGAGTCAGATTGATATCTCCAATGAGACCCTAACGGACGCTTGTGCAGATGTGTCTATGGTTAAAGGTGTAGGCTGGTAAATGAACGATTTCAGGATCTAACACTTCTGGTTCACTGTACTAGTGAAGATATTTTTTGTTAGATATAGAGCGACAATTGTTATTTATGTGCAGTTTATGTAAGTAGTGTTCTATACTGTTACAAAGGTATAACTGATTTACATTATAAATTATTCAAATTGTATCATACTTTTTGGCATATCATCAACTCACCAAATTATTTACTCCACCATATTTATGCTCAGTTTGGGCCTTTGTCTTTCTTGTTTTGTCCTACCTTCATATTCTCCTATATCATACTATATATATATACAGTGCTTTGCGAAAGTATTCAAACCCCTTCATTTTTTTTTTTTTTTCATGTTTTGTTATATTGCAGCCTTATGTTAAACTGCTTTAAATTATTTATTTTTTTCCCACATCAGTCTACACTTGCATACACCATAACGGCAAAGCAAAAACAGAACTGTCACAACTTTGTAAATTTATAAAAAAAAATTAAAAAAAACTGAAATAAGTACATTGCATAAGTATTCATATATAACTTAGCTGAAGCACCTTTACAGCCTCAAGTATTTTTGGGTATGATGCAACAAGCTTTGCACATCAGCATTTGACAATTATCTGCCATCCTTCTCCTCATCTCTTCACCGCTCAAGCTTTGTCAGGTTGGATGGGGGCAGACGCACATTTTCAGGTTTCTCCAGAAATATTTGACTGGGTTCAATCCCAGGCTCTGGCTGGGCCATCAAGGACATTCACAGAGTTGTCTATAAGCCACTCTTGCTGTGTGCTTCGGGTCATTGTCCTGTTGGAAGGTGAACCTTCTGCCCAGTCGCAGAGCTGGTTTCCTTCAAACATGATGCTTAGAATTTAGGTTTATCAGAACAGAGAATCTTTTTTCTCACAGTCTGAGGGTCCTTTAGGTGCTGTTTTGCAAATTCCAAGTGTGTTTTCATGTGTGTTCACTAAGGAAAGGATTGAGTTTGGCCACACCGCCATAAAGCCCAGATCGGTGGAGTGTTGCAGTGATGTTTGTCCTTCTGTAGGTTTCTCCGATCTCCACATATGATCATGGAGCTCAACTAGAGTGACCATCAGCTTCTTGGTCACCATTCTAACCAAAGCCCTTTTGATCAGTTTGGCCAGGAGGCCAGCTCTAGGAAGAGTTCTGGTTGTTCCAAACATCTTCCATTATGGATAATGGAAGCTACATGCTGCTGTGAACCTTCAATGCAGCAGAATTTGTTTCTGAACTCTTCCCCAGATGTGTGGTTTGATGCAATCCTGTCTCTGAGCTCTACAGGCAATTTGTTTTTTTCTTTTCTTTTCTTTTCTTTTCTTTTCTTTCACCTCAGGGCTTGGTCTTTGCAAAGATACCTGTTATAAAAACCTATTATTTTGCTTTGTCATTGTGGTGCATGGAGTGTAGATTGATGTAGAAAAAAAGTAATTTAAAGTAATTTAAAATTAACATAAGGCTGCAACATTACAAAACGTGAAAAAAATGAAAAATAAAGGGGTTTGAATACTTTCGCAAGGCACTATATATATATATATACAGGTGCATCTCAATAAATTAGAATGTCGTGGAAAAGTTTATTTATTTCAGTAATTCAACTCAAATTGTGAAACTCGTGTATTAAATAAATTCAGTGCACACAGACTGAAGTAGTTTAAGTCTTTGGTTCTTGTAATTGTGATGATTTTTGCTCACATTTAACAAAAACCCACCAATTCACTATCTCAACAAATTAGAATACTTTATAAGACCAATAAAAAAACATTTTTAGTGAATTGTTGGCCTTCTGGAAAGTATGTTCATTTACTGTACATGTACTCAATACTTGGTAGGGGCTCCTTTTGCTTTAATTACTGCCTCAATTCAGCGTGGCATGGAGGTGGTATGGAATCTAATTTATTGAGATGCACCTGTATATATATATAAATATATATATATATATATATTACCTTATAAGGTAATATAATACACTTGTGTTTACTAATTAAATTAAATCTCCGTGCACTCAAAAATAGTGGTTTATCCCTTTGAGACTAGACTTTATTTTCTTTTTATGCAGCTACATCTGAACAACAGTCC